GACGCGGTCTTTGATGTTCGATTCGTTGTAGTTTGTCCAGTGAGTCCTGCGAGGCCTGCGCGCCGCCGGCAGTAGTGGCTCCGGCTTTGGGGGGGGGGGGGGGGCAGGATGTGGGGAGCAGAATGGGGAGCGTCTTCGGGTCAGAATGTAGTAGACGAGGACAGAACGAAGGGAGCGGCGCAAGGTGGGACAGAGACCGATGGCTGCAGGATGCAAGCGTCAAGCTCCAACGACAGAGATGGAGGATGGGGAAGCCAGCCATCGGTATCGGGCTGCTGCTCCTGCAGCCCTCTTTTCCCCTGGCCGCGCCGCCGCGCTCCATTCTTGATTCCCCGGCCCTCTGCCCTATCCGCCGCCATAGACAGCAATCTCCTCGCTGTTTGCCGAGGCCGGCTTGTAGGTCGCGGGGCGCGGGGCGCGGGGCGCGGAGGACGTATTTACGAAGAAACAAAATGAAGACTGAGCCGAGCCGCGCGCCTTGAACCCATCCCTGCCTACGCAATAAAAATCGGGCCGGGAGCGCGCCACTGCTGCGCTGCGCTCCATTCGATGCCCTTTCCGCTTCCGCTTTTTGCGGTACACTGTCGGCGCCGCCGGGCGCCGCGGCCACAGTGGGCCAGAAGACCGGTGGGGCAGGCCAAAACCCGAGACGCGTTTTGAGCTCCAGGGTCGCTAAACAGGACTCGAACCGAGCGTGTGACCCCACCAATGGATTCCTCGTTCGGAGAGCAATCCATTGGTGGGGTCACACGTTCGGTACGAGTCCTGTTCAGCGACTCTGGAGCTCGAAACGCGTGTAGAGTTTTGGCCGCCTCCGCCGGTCTTCTGGCCCACTGTATGCGGGGCCGCGCTGCTACCTAATACAACGGCGCGCACGCGAGCACGGCGTGTCGCCGGAGACCAGGACCAGGCCTCCGGGGATGCGAGCAGGCGGAGCAGGAGATGAGGCGGCGTCCTATCGCGTGGCAAGGTCGCGTCCGGCCCGCAGGGGGTTGTTATAGGCCGGGCCGGATCGGGCGGCTCGGCTTGAGTCGCCCGCTCGACACGTTGGCCTCCGCCCTCCACCCCGCGCCTCGCGAAAAGGGGCCCCGGACCGTGAAAGGGCCTGGGGGCTCCAGACCCCGGAAGCGCTGATTGGACACGCGAATCACTACACTGTAGCCGCTCTTATTACGGTCGTGTGACCCCCGAATGCAGATTGAATGAAACGGGTCCCCGTCCCGGCCCGTACGGCCCCCTGGAGGCCGGCCCGGGCACGCCTGCAGGGCACAACACCGTAATGGTGTCTGCAGTGTCGATCCTAATGGGGCTGTGGCGCCGCTAGTCAGCGCGCGCTGCCTCTCGCAGACGTCTCCTCGTTCCGCGCCTTCCACGCTTTTTCTGCCGGCTGTTGGCACCAGGAACAGAAAACGCAGTGTAGGGCGAGCGCGTTGGCCTACTCTGGTGGCGGTGTTGACGGCGTGGGATGCGTTCTGATTTTCGCAAGGTCAGCTCGAAAGGAAACGGATCTCGAAATAGAGAAGAGATGAGCGCCAGGGCCACTGTGCAGTGCGCTTCCTCCAACGAGTTTGTTATGGCAGCACTGGTCCAAAAACATTCCTGCGACATCATGTTCACGCGTGCATCGCGCGGTGGACCTCGCTGTGCACTGTTGAAATACTTTTTTGAGTTTTGGGAATTTTTCGAAGGTTTCAGGCAATTTTTTTTCCTGACAAGTGGTTAGCAGACAGTGAACCTCTCCGTTGCAGAAACTTTCAAGTGTAAATCAAACGGAGCAGATCGGCCTATTTGCTTTAATTATCTTCTCTAACACTTCAAACGGTTTACACCAGTCCTCTAATCATTAGTTCAAAAGTGCAGCAAGTCCCGAGTCGTTGTTTGCTTTGGGAAGAAAGCGTTTGCCCGAGCATCCAGTGCCGAGGCCAGACGGTTTATTCTCGCTCTCCGAGTCCTACGTAAGGTTTTAAGCGTGCAAGATCCAACTGAAACTACTTCAGTCGCCGGCAGCCACGGGCCTCGGGTCAGTGGCGGTAAAGTAGCCGATGGTTCATGTAGCTGATGCGGCGCGGGCCGGGCTGGGCTGGGCCTGCTGCGCCATTCAGAATGAGCCAGCGTATCAGCACTATCCACATGACCGGGGCGGGGCGGGGCGGGGCGGGGCATGCGCTATCGGGCCCTCGGCCGGTCGCACCACCGCAGGCTGCTCTTTCTTCCTTCTCCCTGACCGGGGCGCCGGGGCAGCCAGACCGGGACCGGGCCCCATATCTCACCCGCACCCCTGCGGGCCCCTCAGGCCCCGGCAGGACACCGTGCTCTTTAGCATGCCATGCAAATCGAACCGTTCATCCATATTTATCCGGCGATGCTGTCCTAATTGAAAAGAAAGAGCCTCTTCCGTCCGGCATGCGGCAGCAGGGCCGGACATTCGCGCTGTCCGAGCGATTAGAAAACACCGCTTTCACTCGATAAGCAACAACGTTTTCCCGGAAAAATGGTAATAAAGGACGAACCGGGGATAACACGCTGTATGTGTTGGTGTGTGTGAGAGAGGGGGTCGGCGCCATGCACAGGGACTAGATCGCTACATCCCTGTTTACTCGTCTAACGCAAACTAAACTTGGTCCCGCGGCGCGCGATTTGCCTGAGGGAGGGGGAGGGGGAAGCCCTGTGGTGATGCCCGCGAGGTGCACGCGGAGTGCGCGGCGGGCGGCGGGGCGCATCCCTCGCTCGCTCGGTCAAACATCCACCGCGAGTCCCGCTCGGCGCGTCGCAGTCTTCGAGCTCCGTCCCGCGTTGTGCTTCTCGCCCCTCGCCTCCCGGAGCCCCTGACGAAGTCGGGGTAGGCAACCCGCGGTCACCGGCGTTCGGCGGGTCAGTCCGCCAGCCGGGGGCTCCGCTCCAGCCAGCCTCGGGTTCGCTCCGTCTCTCTCGCACCTCTACGAGACGCGCAACACCGAGTGCGACGGAGACCAAGCGCCGGAATGAGTTTGTATTTTATTTTCGACTACGCGAGCGACAACGGCTTTCCAGCTTTTCGCGCCGTTTGGGGCAGTGACAGCGCGTTAAATATGGACGCGGCTCGCTCAATGTCAAGGCCTGGCCGGTCCTGCCGGGGACACGGGGGGGGGGGGGGGGCACGCGGAATCGCAGAGCAGCGCGGCCAGCTGGACGGGAAGCAGCGACGCGAATCCCGAACGGGAGAATCGGCCGAATCGTGTTCATGAAGTCGCCCCGGATATGAGCAGCATGTCGCCGGCCCGTTCGGCCAATCAACAACAAGTTAGTGACGGAGAGGCGCGGAAAGCGGACTCTATTCTATTCTTGATGAAGGGAGGTGCCAGTGTTGACTCGACGGCTCCTTTCCGGGACTTGGAGAAAAATAAACTTCAGGCCGCTATCGGGAAGTGTAATTGACTGGAAAATAGCCGGCGACACGCTGAAGTCAGGTGGAAGACGTGAACCTCGAGCTACGCGCACAGCGTTAAAAATTAGAAAGAAAATGGAAAATATGGGGGGAAAAGGGACTTACCCTTGGCGAAAGCCGGGGCCCGTTATGGGCCTGTTCGTTCGGGAGCCACCCCTGTGCGGTGTCACCCTGACGAGCTCCAGAGCGTCGCTGGAAAATGGGGAAATTGGCCGTCTCCCGTTCTGCCCCTTTGGCTCGGCTCGGCTCGGCACAGCCGCCGGCCCGTTGCCGCTCGAGTGGTGAAACAGTCCACCTTTCTTAACTCATCACAGCCATCGCTGTCGCTGGCAACGCCATCATCATAAACAAAGGCCGTTGTTGGCGATCAAGACCCCGGTGATCGCCGTTCCAAAATGGCCCCTTCCTTTCAAGCCCGCCTGCGGGGCCTGCAGCTATGATTAAAACCTTCTGTTTATGTTTCCATTTTTTTCTTCTTTTCTGCGGGTGTTTGGTCAAAACTTTTTGCTCGTTGTTTATTTTTGATCGGAGCTATTTCGCACGTGGAGCAGTGGTGTTGGTGTCCGTGTCAGCCGTCGCGAGCACGAGCGTAGAGCCAGCCCCGCCAGCCCGCGCCAGCAGCCCTGTCGTGTCATCTGCGCTAAAACTTGTACGCGTTGCGGCGTCCCAGCGCCCACTCCACCGACACCACGGTGGCCTACCCCGGCCGGCTGGCTATTCGTCATCGTTACGGTGTACTTTCGCCACCGCCGTCATCATCATCACCCCCACTGACACACTAACGAGGTGTGCGGTATCAAAGAGGGAAACAACTTGGGACAAAAACAAGAGGAAAAGCCGCGCATTGTTAGTGCAGTTTCGAATAAAAGTGGCGGGAATGGAGGAAGGTGAGCCGCGGGTTCCGGACGGCGCTCTGTCTCTCTCGCTCTCATGGGGCGTTCCGCTGGGGTGCGAGAGAGACAGAGAGACGGACTGGGGCCGAGTGTGGGGAGCGTGCACCTTTTTGTTTTTATTCCCACGATTTGTTTTTGTTTCGCTGGCGACGCCACGTGACGCGCCGCGTCTGCCAGCCGGCTTGCTAATCCCCGGGAATGGCAATTAGACGCGCTCCTTTCTCCGTTTCGAGTGGAAACGTGGAAACGGCCGCGGAAACGATGGGACAATTGTATTTTCGCCGGAGTCATGTTGACGTTTTTCGTGACTCCCACAAATTAATTTTTTTGAGAAAATTGAAAGAAAACTATGGGACTCTACGCCCTCTTGCCAGTCTTAATGGGGAGGCAATGAACAGGCACTCCATCGCGTCTACTATCGACTTCTAAATATAACAGTGCAGTGCGGTCCGGGGGCTGCCCAGCCCGTCCAACGAGCCTCCACCACTTTGCTCCGCCAATCGGAGCGAGAAGAACAGAAAAATGTGGAATCTAATGCGGGCCTTTGAATGCATCTCTCGGGAAGAAACTGCCCCAACTCCGCTTTATTGCCTTGTGCTCATTCCCTTGCCGTCGCAATTAGAGTCAAGCTGCAGCTGTTTTCCTTGGCGGCCGCCCCGCCCCGCCCCGCCCTAGACACTCACCTGAGGTGACTGGCGCATCATCGTCGCTCACGCGCTAATGACAGGGGCCCCGCCCCGCCCCGCCTCGCCTCGCTGCCGGCCCGACATGGTCCAGGGGCGGGACCAGGGGGCAGGGGGGCAGGGGAGGGGCGGAGGGGTGGCGGCTGGTGGTGCCTCCTCGTGGCGCTGCACGTCTAGTCCACTGCGCAGGCCATGGCGTCGCCGAGCGTCTCGGTGGCGGCGAGGGGAGACGGCGGCCCTTGGGCGCTAACGAAGGGCCACTCGCGGGCACTGGCTCGCTGGCCCGGCTAAAGGCAGAGCCAAGGGGCCCTCCACACTGGGGCGCGCGCTCGAGCCGCGCCGTGCCGCGCCGTGCCGCGTCGTGCGCACACGCGCCGCCAAGTCGGTGCTCGTCGCGGTGCTCGCGCTGCCGGGGTCGGGTCGGGGCGTCTGCTCGCGGCCGCTGCCAGTCGCAGACTCGGCCACTCGGCCGCGTGTCTGGCGCGGCCGCCCTTCGCGAGGCTAGGCGCCCCCCCTCCCCGGCCACCCCCACCCCACGGGGAACCGAGGGAACCAAGGGAACCCCCGCAGCGCCGCGCAGCGCGCCCGCCCGCCTGGCCTGCCTACATGCCGACAGGGGCACAAACACGTACTCTACCCTCAGCACCACACTCACACTCACACAGTGCTGCGGTACCAGGGTAGTCGTTGGAGCGTTTTGCAGTGGTGGCGTATCGCAGCGTGCAGTCGCTGCCTCCGCCCGCATCCTCACTACTGGCCTGCGGTTCGGTTCTGCGCGACAACGGGGGTGCTGCGCGCGCTCATGTTACCCGAGAATCAGAGGGCGGTACACTGGGTACACTCTCCTCCAGCGCGGCAGTAGGCAAAACTTCGGCCTCCTCGGAGCGCGGATAGCGCGGCCGCGGGAGCACCAGCCCCCCTGGAGGGGCTGTTAGTGTAGGGTCCACGCGCACGCTTTGCTGAGGCTAGCGTTATGAATACGCAAAATGGACATTGCTTTGGCTCTCTTTATAGAGGGGAAAAAATTCTTCATTTTGTCGTTTTAGTTTCCCGACAGGTTAATTGCCACCGGTTAGTGTGCGCGGCGCGGTGCGCGGCCGTGCAGGATGGCGATAACTCATTGGCAACGGGTTTCATTTGTTTATTTATTTTTTTCGAACGGTGAAACGCAACGCTTTAATAACCCTTTGCAAGAGAAGTAAATAAATAAATGGTGTAATGTATTTGGGAAAACATAATTACTTCGCAATGTGTTTTACGGCGGGCTGTAAAGGGCAGGCCGGCAGGGCGCCAGGAAGGGACGCTGTGCCGCGCAGTGCCGCGCTGTACGCAATGAATGAGTGAAAAGGGTGAAAGGTGAAAGGACGTGCCCCCCCCCTCACGCGGGCCCTCGTATGAAGGGCATTGTGCGACGTCCTAGTATTCTTAAGACCCTACTCTTTCATGCCCTCTATCGGGAAGACGTTGACCACAACGATTTCGGCTTTGACCGCAACGATTTTCCGACCAAGTTGGTCAAAAAGTGGCCGAATCTCGGAAATTTGCTGATTTTGCTGACTTTGGGTGGCCACTGTGTCCAATCTAGTCGCCGTAAAAGGCCTCCCTCGACGTCCTAGTATTCTTGAGACCCTACTCTTTCATGCCCTGTGTCGGGAAGACGTTGACCACAACGATTTTGGCTTTGACCGCAACGATTTTTCGACCAAGTTGAGCAAAAAGTGGTCGAATCTCGGAAATTTGCTGATTTTGTTGACTTTGGGTGGCCAGTGTGTCCAATCTAGTCGCCGTAAAAGGCCTCCCTCGACGTCCTAGTATTCTTGAGACCCTACTCTTTCATGCCCTGTGTCGGGAAGACGTTGACCACAACGATTTTGGCTTTGACCGCAACGATTTTTCGACCAAGTTGGTCAAAAAGTGGTCGGATCTCGGAAATTTGCTGATTTTGCTGACTTTTGGCGGCCACTGTGTCCAATCTAGTTGCCGTAAAAGGCTCCCCTCGACGCCCTAGTATTCTTAAGTCCCTACTCTTTCATGCCCTGTATCGGGAAGGCTATTGACCGCAACTAGTTTGGGAGCGGTAGCCTCACAAAGTTGGTCCTGAAGGGTAAAAACATGACGATGATCGGGGGCCTTTTGCGGTCTTATCCGCTGCGGCGTTTTGGGGGCCAGTCCGAGCCTGCCACTGTGAGCCAGGGTCGCGGGCCGGGTGGTGACCACAGTGGTGGTGGTGACCAGGTCGGCCAGGGCGGCGGCCTGCACGTGCCCCGCTGCCCCGCCGCCTCGCTCTAGTGCGGCGTGTCGCGCCCGCCCCGCCACCACTAAATCACCTCGACACGTCCCGGCTGTCGCGCTGTCGCGGCACACCAAGTACACCAAGTACAAGCGCGTGCTCGGCGATAACGAATGGGCCGGCGGCGTCAAACGCGGGGTGTCGATGCAAAAACCGCCACCCTTCCTTCTTGTTCCTCTGCAGTGTACGCCGCGCAGTCGGGGTGCAGGGTGCCATGCGAAGTCGCCCGAAGCGGCGGCGGGCCGTGAGCGGGAAGCGCCCAGGGCGGGTGCGCTGCTAGGCGCTGCTTGGCACCGCTTCCATTTGTTTGTGCAATCGTCGTCGCCATCTTCGTGCCGCACTGCGTACCGCGCGTCGCGGCGGAGCGGCGTCGCGGCCCGGCCGAGGCCCAGCCCATCCCTACCTGATTCCCCCCCCCCCCCCAGCCCAGCTCCATCCCACGGTGGCAGTAACGGCAGGCAGCGCCACAAACACCAACGCTGGCCCGCGACAGCCGGAAAGGAACGAGTCAAGTAAAACCTGCCCGGGGCGCGCAGGCTCGCCACTCTTCGCCCCACCCCGCCCCGCCCGCGCCTCGGGGACCGCCGCGTCGTGGCACCGCGACAAGCCCTCGCAACCCCGCAGCAGTGGCAGCGCAGTGCGGGGCAGTAAATCCACAGCACATGGTCCCTCGGAGGCTGGGCGGCGAGCGGGGCGGGGCGGGGCGGGGCGGGGCGGCCCAGAGCGAGCAGTCCTCGTACACGCGGCACGCGCGGCACGCGCAAGGCCTGTTCGCTTTCTAACGGGCCAAACTACGACCGCTCTGCCCGTGATTGGAAACACACACACACGGCAACAGCAAACAGCAAGCCAGCAGGCCAACAGACAGACAGACAGATAGACAGACAGACAGACAGACAGACAGACAGACGGACAGACCGGCGCGTCGTGGAGCGCCTGCTGGTTGGCTGTCCGCACGGCACTCGTGCGCTGCTGCTCGCCGGTGGCCTACCCTCGCGGCGCTCCGTCTCTTCGCTTTGTGGGTACCGCGCGCGCTCTCGCACACATCGCCTTCCCGCTTCGCACCGGGCTCTGACTTCTCACAGCGTTCGTCTCTGTCGCACCAGCGCTGAAGGCGCCCAGTGCGAGAGAGAGATAGAGAGACAGCGCTGTGCTGCTCGACACACGCGCGGCGCGGGGCGGCCGTTCCGAAAACATGGGTTGCGGTCACGGGTCTGAAATAGCGATTCCCCCCCCCCCACGCCCCTGCCTCACCTACTCGAACCCCATTGGCCCATTCGCACCACCAGAAAAAGGAAGAAAACGTAAAAAGAGGTTGACAGCCGCGCCGGGGGAGAACCCCCAAAACGTCTCGGCGCGCCGCCCCCGGCCCGCCTGCATTCCGAAGGGGCCTTCCGTCTCTCTCGCACCCGCAGGGCGGCCCGGAAGGGTGCGAGAGAGACGGAGCGACGAAGCGCGGCGTGTCGCGGAGGGCGCAAGCGGCGCAAGCAGCGCGTAGTGGCGGGCCGGCTTTTTCTTCATGAATAACGCATTCCGGCTATTGCCGCTTGAGTGCGCGCATTGTGCGTGTGTGCGTGTGTGCGTGTGTGTGACTGCGAGCGTGCGCGGCAAAATAGGAACCGACGCGCCTCCAATGAAGCCGTCCCCCTTCTGCCATGCCTAGCTAATGAACGGTGCGCCGCTGAAAGGCGGTGATCTCTTTATTTTCCTCGACTTTTTAATGGTTTGTCTTTTGGCAGGGTGAGGACGCCGCGGGGTGGAGGCGCAAAGGACGAGACATGACTGAAAGATGAAGGCGCGAAGCTACTTGAGAGGCGACAGGGGCGCGTCGAGGAGGTGGCCGACGTAGCCGAGCCACGGGTATCATCTCGAACCCGGCCGGAACCACATCACGGGCTGTGGCTAGCACGCGGGGTACAGCAAAAAAAAATTACACGTCGGAGATTTGTCGGAACTCCTTGCGCCGGATCTAGGAGCATCAGCCTCGCAACGTCCGTCCAAATGTCAACAAATCCTCCAACTCCGTCGGCACTGTATCCTGGAGTCACACAGGCACAACTGCAGTTCCCTCCGCGGCCCCGAACGCGCTCCAAAACACGTCGGACCGGCTTAACAAATTGTCCCCCGGGAGTGTAGAGTGTAGGGCCCTGCAGGGCCGCGAGGCACGCCCCCGAGCCCCGCAGGCCGCCGGGATATTATTTGACCCACTTTTCGCTCCTTGTCTTCCCTTTTTGCAGTGCCGCCTTCTTTTCATCTTAGCACACCTTTGCCAGCCGCGCATTACCGGTCGTCCTAAACCGCCGCCATTTAATAAAGTAATAAAACTTCTTTTTTGACATTTTGAAGCGACTTCAAAGCCGGCGGCCGCATATATAAAATCCGGTCTCATTAAACGTGAAATATTCTCGTTTCCTCGCTAACTCCGCCCCCCCCCTCCACAAAGGCTACGCCCGCGCCCCCCTCCCCTGCCCCGGTGGTTGTATCGCCCCGTTGGGGCTGGCTAGGCCCTGCGCCCTGCCTGGCCCTGCCTCTGCGACCTACTCAAGAATTTACAATCCAGATCGACGCCCGGGCCGATTCAAGCAGCGGGTCCGAAGAAAGGGCCAGGGCGCTCCAGGAAGCGCGACGTGTGGGTGGACAGAGCGGCCCGCGATCGCCGAAGGCTTCAAATCACTGCGACACTGTTCTGCGCGACAGTTCCCAGTTCATTGCGATGGAAAAGCTCTTTAAATGTCGCTCGCGTTGGTAACAGCTCCCAAGCATGCGCTCTATGGGTGCCAGCGGCTGAAAGCAAGACTTTCGCCCGATTTCGCCTTCGCCTCGGGC